AAGCATTGCTGAGCTCCCGTTGGCTCTGCCCAGCTGCTGTGTTAACTTCCTTGTGGTTTTGTTTTTAGAGGTATAGTTAGAACTGCCTTTGTAATGGCAGACTGCCTCAGTAATGGCAGATGCCCTTCCCCCTGCAGAGCTGGACCGTCCCTTGTCCAGCTCTGCTTGATGTGAAATTCTCAATCCAGAGTGTTTCAAATTGCTAGTCTTTTTAGGGGTGGGACCCCCCACCCCCGAGCCATATCACCTGGCTCCCTGTTTCAGCCCCCTTTTTTTCAGTTGAATGGGTGACCCTGTCTCCCAGGCATTCCAGCTGCCAGTTGAAATGGCGCCCAGATTTGTGTGAGTTTTTGTGCGGAGACCTACTGTGCTGGCTGAAACAGCCATGCTGGAGACTCGTGGCACTTTTCTGCCTGGGAATCTCCTGGTCTGTGGGCAGTGAAAGCTCGTTTGGAAATGCGGTGATCACTCACCCTCTGCGTTCTTGCTGGGAACTGCACTCCTGAGCTGTTCCTATTCGGCCATCTTGGATCATCCCCTAGAAGGTGATTAATTATTTATTTAATTTCTATAATAGATATAGGGCTTTTCAGGTTACCTCTTTCTTCTTTTTGAATTTTGGTGGTTTGTGATTTTTAAGAAGTTGGTCCATTTTATCTAAGTTATCAAATTTGTGGGCATAGAATTGTTCAAATTATTCCTTTATTGTCCTTTTAATGTAAGGGTGAACCTTCTTTTATTTCTGATATTGACAATTTGTGTGTTTTTTTTTTTTTTCCTTAGCCTAGAGATTGACCAACTGTATGGCATTTTTTTCTTCCAAAGGACCAGCTTTTGGTTTTGTTCATTCACTTTTTCTGTTGTTTTTCTATTTTCAATATAGGTAAGGATTGCATTAAACCTATAGATCACTTTGTAGTGTGACATTCTAAACCGTATTAAGCCTTCTAGTTCATGAACACAGGATATCTTTCTATTTATTTGTGTCTTTAATTTCTTTCCTTGATGATTCATGGTTTTTTTCAGTGTATGAGTCTTCCGCCTCCTTGGTTAAATTTATTCCTAAGAATTTTATTCTTTTTGATGCTATTATAAATGAAATTGCTTTCTTAATTTTCTTTTTGGATTATTAGTGTTAGTGTAACAATAAATTGTTAGTATTTAGAAATGCATCAGATTTGTGAGTGTGTTGATTTTGTAGCCTGCACTTTGCTGAATTTACTTGTTAGGTTTTTTTTTATGTGGAATCTTTATTTTCTACATGCAAGATTGTCATTTGTGAACAGAAATAATTTTTCTTCTTTCTTTCCTATTTGGATTCCTTTTAATTCTTACTCTTGCCTGATTGCTCTGGCTAGGACTTCCAGTACTATGTTGAATAGAAGTGATATGAATGATCATCTCTGCTTTGTTCCTGATCTTAGAAGGAAAGCTTTTAGTTTTTCACCATTTAATGTGATGGTAGCTGTGGGTTTTTCATATAAGGCTTTCATTGTGTTGAGATAATTTCCTTCTATTCCTAGTTTGTTGAGTGTTTTTATCATGAAAGGGTGTTTAATTTTGTCAGATGCTTTTTCTTTATCAATTGAAATGATCCTGTGGGCTTTCTTCATTCTGTTGATGTGGTGTATTACATTGATCACTTAGGCATGATCTGTAGTCCTTTAATGTGTTATCGAAGTTGGTTTGCTAGTATTTTGTTAAGAATTTATGCGTGAATATTCATCAAAGAGATATTGTTCTATAGTTTTTAGTATCTTTGTCTAATTTTGGTGTCGATGTCATGCTGACCTCATTTGTATGAGTTTGGAAGTTTTTCCCTTTTTATGTTTTCATAAAGTTCGAGAAGGATTGCTGTTTCTTCTTTAAATGTTTGATAGAATTCTGTAGCAAAGCCACCTGGTCCTGGGCTTCTCTTTGTTGGGAGGTTTTTGATTACTGATTCAATCTCCTTACTAATTATAGATGTGTTCAGATTTTTTATGTCTTCTTGAGTCAGCCTTCATTAGCTATATGTTTGTAGAAATTTATCTATTTCTTCTAGGGTACCTAATTTGTTGGCATACAGTTGTTCATAGTAGTCTCTTAGGAACCTTTTTATTTCTGTGGCGTCAATATAATGTCTCCTCTTTCATTTATGATTTTCATTATTTGAGTCTTGTCTCTTTCTTAGCCTAGCTAAAGGTTTGTTAACTTTGTTGATCTTTTCAAAAAGCTAACTCTTAGTTTCATTATTTTTTTTCTATTCTCTATTTAATTTCTGCTCTAATCTTTATTTCCATTCTTCTGCTATTTAGTTTTCTTCTTCTTTTTTTAACATCCCCTCTCCCCAACTTAGTTTGTTCTTCTATTTCTAGTTCCTTGAGGTTTAAAGTTAGGTTGTTGATTTTAGACGTTGTCTTCTTCATCTTCTTTTCTTTTTTTTAATGTAGGCATTTACATCTATAAACTATCCTCTTTTGCTGCATCCCATAAGTTTTGGTATGTTATGTTTTTGTTTTCATTTGACTCAGTATATATTCTAATTTCCTTTGTCATTTCTTCTTTGACCCATTGGTTGTTTAAGAATGTGTTGTTTAAAACAACTTACAGATATTTGTAATTGAATTTTCTAGTTTTCCTTATACTATTGATTTCTAATTTCTCTCCTTTACTTTTAAAGAATTATTTCTCTGGATACAGAATTCTAAGTTGGTGCTAATATTTCTTTCAACACGAAATATTTCACTACACTCTCCTTGCTTACATGGTTTATAATGAAAAGTGTGCTATAATTTTTATCCTTGTTCCTTTATAGGTAAGATGTTTCCCCCCCTGCCTCCCATGAAGTTTTTTTGGTCTTTGATTTTGTTCACTTTGAACATGATATGCCTGAACTTGGGAGTTTTTGTTTGTTTTTTGTTGTTTTGGTTTTTGCTTTATTGGGCATGGTGGGTATTTATTCTCTTTGGTGTTGAGCTTCCAGGTCTGTTGTTTAGTGTTACCATTTTTTGTAAATAAAGATTTATTGGAACACAGTCACTCTAGTTGTTTACATATGGTATATGTCTGGTTTAGTACTATAATGACAGAGTTGAGTAGTTGTGACAGAAACCATATGGCCCAGAAAGCCTAAAATACTCAGTATTTGACCCTTGCATAAGTGGATCAAATAATTTACATTTTAGTTCTCACTTTGCCGTCAATAAACTGTATCACTTCCGGCAAATCATTTAATATGTGTGTCTTTCACTTGCTACATTTTGGAGGAATTTGGACTAGATGCTTTCTGTTCTACTCAGATCTAGAAATTTACACTTCTGTTTGCTAGTACCATGTTTGAAGATGTATCCCTTTTTTATTAAGAGTAATGTATTGCTTTGTTAAATAGTACTAAAAGAGAAGAAAATGTTAGGATATGTTTTTATGTAATTTTATTTACAAATTGTGCTAGATTTGGATGATGGCACTTTACTTTCCTTCCTACTTTTTAGCAATGTATTTGTGATTTGAAACTAAAATTATCATATTTGAGAACCCTTAACTCTGTCATGACTGTATTATTTTTGCTTTAAAATATGTTATATACAATTGTAATTTGGAAGGCGATTCAGTCTTCTGAATATACCACAATTATTGTCATCTAGAAGTTGCTACTATTAGAATTTTCCAGAAAAATAATTATGTTGGCTTTGATCATTGTGATGAAACTTAAAAAATGTATAGATGTTGATTTGTAGGCTTTTTCTGTATTTTATTTTTAAATGGGGGACTGCTTATAAGATACTGTTCATATTCAATCATATCAGAATTTTGTCTAGTGTATTACCATATTCAGAGCATTTTAATTTAATAACCTGCAGTTACCACATTTTGTAAGTTTTTAAATGCTTTAAACACACCTTTTGGATTGCAAATAAATTCTGAAACTTCCCCTCTGTCACCACTGTGATTAATTTTAGTTTTAGGAATAAAATGTGAACTACATAAACAAGTTTTCAGACATTTTCAAAATTTGCTCTGGAAATTTCACTATTAGCCATATATTGTGGTCAGTTTAAAGTTGTTTTAAGATAAATTGGAATGTCTTGAAAGTTCTAGAAGTCTCTAAAATGCTTCTTAGGCAAAGAAGAAAGAAGACAAACCCTAGTACTTGTAGAAAAGTAAATAAAATAAAGCTTGTGTGTTGTAAACAGGAGAATCTTCTTATGTCAAACTGCCTTTTTAACCTCCTTTCCTTCTCTTGTTTCTGTCTGCCTACCTGTTCTTTTTTTTTTTGTGATAGAGTTACTGGTCTGCAACGTCTTCAGTATCTCAAACTGTCTTAGGAGTTGTTCTAAAAACAAGTCATTATAAATGACCTCTTTTTTTAAACAAGTTGCCTCTGTTCTCCTGTTTTCTTCCACAAATACTTAAGTTTGCTTAAAATAATGTTTACTTCCAAACTTTAAAGAATTATTTTCAGAACAGGAAGCTAAAGAAATAATTTTAATTTATTATAGATATAGTATAATTCAGGATTCATTCTTAATATAAGAGAGAGATAAATTAGTAGATCACGACATCTCAGATAATGTGTGACTACATTAGAAGATGTTTCAAATAATTTTATTCCTCACCTCTTTTGTAGAGGAAATAGAATTTGAATAAGAAACAGTATGTTGCTAGGAATTTCTTTTATCAACTGTGCATTTTAGAACAGCGTTTTAGCTAGCATCTGTTTCTGAAATTTTAGACTATTATTTAATTTTTACATATGTAAGTTTATAGACTATATAGTTTCAAAGGTTATAGCATAATTAAAATGTGAAAGAATACACTGATTAAACTTGTGTAACTTGTGGTATATACAGTTATTTGATAACTTGCCAGTTTTGTTTTACCTTAGGGAAAGTTGACCTATGGCATATAGAACAACTAACTATGTTATTTCTCTATGTGTTAGTAGAGAATAGGAAATACACAAATAAGCGTTCTGTGTTTTTCTTCTCCTCTGAGTTACTTTTATTTTTTCTCCTTAGAACTCCTTGATCTATGAACTTTTCTCTGTTATGGTTCATTCCGGGAGTGCTGCTGGTGGTCATTATTATGCATGTATAAAGTCATTCAGTGATGAACAGTGGTACAGCTTCAATGATCAACATGTCAGCAGGGTAAGGATATGTCCTTTAAGATTATTACTGTGAAAGATGGGAATAGGGATGTTTCTAAACAACAGCAAAGTTTTTAAGGATGAGTGAATGTGTCTGGTGATACATCTTAAGACTTATATCAAACCGGTCTTTAATTTTTGCTTTTATTAAAGTTCTTGCCTTTTTTATTATTTGTTTTGCTTATTTGTTTGGGGCTTGTTGAATATCTCCAGAGATAGACTAACAATTTTCCTCTGGGCCTGAGCCTCATAGGTGCTACTTTTACTTCACATGTGATTAGGAACACTAGAACTGACTGGCTGGTAAGCAGCCACTGATGATGATCAAATTTTGTATCTGTGTGAGCAATCATGAAGGTCTTTGATAGCATTTAACTCTGAGGCTAAAGATTGAGTTACATATTGACATTAATGTGAAGTGTTACAGAATTTGCAAAAAGAAATCATGTAACACATTTTCAGATAACACAAGATGACATTAAGAAAACACATGGTGGATCTTCAGGAAGCAGAGGATATTATTCCAGTGCTTTTGCAAGGTAAGCAGTTTTCCAATTTTCAGTGTTTAAAAGTTAGAATTAATTATAGCTTCTCAGTGTTTTTTTATCATCAAAGATTTAACCCAGGTATTGACAGACTACAACCCATAAGCCAAATCCAACCTGCCTCCATATTTTGGAAATCAGGCTTGAACACTGACATAGCCATTTGTTTCTACATTATGTGTTAATGCTTTTGCACTATAATAACATAGTTGAGTAGTTGCAGCACAGACCATATGGCATACAAAGCTTATGATACTACTATTTAGTCCTTGCCAGAAAAAACTTGCTGGCTCCTGACTTAACTGTTGTATGTAGACATTCCAGTACACAGTTTTGTTGAAGGCTTTACTGTGTTATAAAGAGGAGATATGGAATCTTCTCTAAATGTGATAAGTGGAAACAGATTATCCTCTTATCTGCAATGTTTTAAATCTGAATGTGTCTGTGAACAGTGGCATGATTTTCTAATTGTTTTTTTTAAAAAAATCACAATTTAAAATGAATATTTCATGCTTAGAAGTGGAATCTTTACAATCTACTTTTTGTGCCTATTAATCTTTTTTATATTTCTACTAGTTCCACAAATGCATATATGCTGATCTATAGACTGAAGGATCCAGCCAGAAATGCAAGTATGTTTACCTACAGTTATATGATTTTAATCTGTGTGGTTAACTAATTTCTTTTGTAAGTTTCGCAAACCCAGATAACTACTTTTAAATGATAGGATAATTGTTTTATGCCTGGAAGAATTATTTACAAAGACTGTTATAAAATAATGCCAAATGCCAAACGGTAAGGACCTTGAAAAAATGTTGAGTTATTTTTTTAAGATACGAAGAGACAAAACTACATTAAATAAATTGAATGTTTGTTAGTAGTAAGATTGTATAAAATGCAGTTTGATACAGGGATGATAAACCCAGCTTTGTCCTAACTCATCATCTGTGTGTCCTAGAGCAACCTTTTCTAAGCTTTTCTTTCTTTTTTTGAAACGGATTGTCGCTCTGTCACCCAGGCTAGAGTGCAGCGGTGCAATGTTGGCTCACTGCAGCCTCCGCCTCTTGAGTTCAAGTGATTGTCCTGTCTCAGCCTCCCGAGTAGTGAGGATTACAGGCATGTACCACCACACCCAGCTAATTTTTGTATTTTTAATAGAGATGGGGTTTCGCCATTTTGGCCAGGCAGGTCTCAAACTCCTGACCTCAGGCGATCCATCCGCCTTGGCCTCCCAAAGTGCTAGGATTACATAGTCGTGCGCCACTACACCCGGCCAACCTTGCTCAGCCTTTCTTTACACATCTGTAAAATGTGTATAATAGTATTTTATAGTATTGTTATAAAAATTGTAATGAGATAACATTTTCAACATTTAGCATCATATCTGATATATAGTAAAAAATTAAATTTAATGGTTATTGCTTTCTTTCAATGTCAAGTTTTTGGAGTATTTTAATATTTAAATGCTTTGATTGGGGATCCTGGGTGACCTGAACTTTTGATTTACGACTCTGAAAACATTTTTGGAAACTTGAGTTAAGTATTTATACTTATTTAATTTAAAAGCAAGTAAAGCGTTATGTATCTAGTACCCATGTTTTATGTGTTGTATTAAGAACCTCGGAAATAATCCAGTATATGAAGCATGTTTGTTTGGCTTTTTAAATAATTATTGCTTTTAAAAAATTGCAGTTTTTGTTTTTCCTTGCTAATTCTGACTCTCTCAGGCTATATTGCAAATATGTAGGGGAGTGTGTACATACTGATACATATACAGTTGATGTGTTTGCTCATGGTCTTTTCATAATTAAAATGTAATCACAATCTTTGATTTCAGTATATTTCCTTTGTTTAGAAACTGCCATTGCTATTAGTCTGTTTCAAGCATTATGCTTTTATTCACATTTTTGTAAACCCTCATTAGATGGTGAATTCAGTTGGTACAAGATTAGGATTTACTCATCTTTTCACATAAAAGTATATTCCAGGATTTGTCCTATAGTAATGTTCAATAATTTACTATGGAATTATTGAAAAAATAAATGAAAATTATAATAAGTCATTTCAGAACAGAGACTTAAGAGCAAAAGTAATCATTTGTACTGTATTAGCTGTGCCAAAGTTGTCCCAAATCATAGCTATCTGGAAGCAGAGTCAGTATTGTCATTCATGTCCTTCATGTGGACCCAGCCTTCGAAAAGCGCAATAACAGCCTTCCTTTGCTCCCCCAACTCTAGTTTTGTTATAAAGCACCAGAGGGCGCTGTATGATATGGAATGTTTTTTAAATTAGAGCACTTTCCTAGAAGCAACAGCTTTTACGTTTTACAGATGTATGCTATTTTTGATATAAATTATTTTCCCTTTTTAATGCTAAATAATCATTGGTTTTATTAAATGGTGTCATAATTTCATATTGTCACTTTGAATACTTTAAAGGTATGTATGAAGTTGTGATTATTAAGAAAAACTTTATATGTGAGTCTGTAGTAACTATTTTTTGCATATATTTTTTCCCTTTAGTTGCTTAAAAGTAGCCTCAGAAATTATGTTAGGTTGTCCTTGCATTGCTGTAAAGCAATACCCAAAACTGGGTAATTTGTAAAGAAAAGAAGTTTAATTGGCTCACCGTTCTGCAGACTGTGCAGGAAGCATGATGCTCAGCTTCTGAGGAAGCCCCAGAGAGTTTTCGATCATGTTAGAAGGCAATATGGAAACAGGCATTTCACATGGCAAAAGCAGGAGCAAGCAAGTTGCTGGGGGTCAAGGGGGTGCCACACACTTTTAAATGACCAGAACTCATGAGAACTCACTGTCATAAGGACAGCACCAAGCCATGAGGCATCTACCCCCATGACCCAGACACCTCCCACCAGGCCCCACCTCCAGTACTGGGGATTACAATTCAGCATGAGATTTGGACGAGGACAAATGTCTAAACTATATCACAAATAATCATCACTTTTTATATTCACGTGAATCTTGACCATATAGAGAGGGAGAAATCCAAAAGATGAAGTTGTCAGTTTTGTGATTCTGTATTCTTTGGTTAGGAGGCAGCTAAAGACTGCTTTGAGAACACAGGAAAGATGGTAGTAAACAAATAGATAGCATTTAGTGGCAGGAACAGCGGCAGCATTTATTAATTTTTTTTTATATCTCAGGTAGTAACTTTATGAGGTAGATGATATTAATAAGCTAAAGAGACCTACATTTGGAGAAGTAAACTTGCCCAAGGTCACACAGTTTGATGGGAATGGCATGATTTGAAGTCAGAAATAATTTTATTTTCAAGTTTCAGAGGGCTTTTTCATTCTAAAATATTAATTCACATACTGGAGTTGTTCTGGAGCCAAGAGCCATTTTGAATAAATACATGGTTCTTTAAGATATGAGACCTAACCATGTGTCCCTGTTAACTATCTCTTCACCCTTTTGTGGATGAAGTTTGTGTTCCAAGTTGAGAGAAGGATATAATTGAGATATGTCTCCATGAGTGCTGTAGTAGAAGTATATACTATGGGAGCATAGCGAAGCAGAATGAATAAAGGGAGCTCAGTTTCAGTGACACTGTTTTGTCCTGTTTTTATTACTAATAGAATTTCTAGAAGTGGATGAATACCCCGAACATATTAAAAACTTGGTGCAGAAAGAGAGAGAGTTGGAAGAACAAGAAAAGAGACAACGAGAAATTGAACGCAATACATGCAAGGTTGAATTCCATAATTTTATTTTTAATTGAAAGCGCTATTTTTAAGCTTGCTTAACTGCAATTCTCATGACTAACTCATTGATTTTTTAGACAGTTATGCCATCATGATCACTGAACAATGTAACCAATCATACTATAAAGGTAAAATTTGATTTGATGTGTAAAAACCCAGTAATATATGTAGTGACGGTGGTCAGTGCTGGTGAAGCCACAGTTGAGGTAGACATTCTCTTATCCTATTGAAAGAAAATAAATCAGTAAAAACTGTATAGAAATTGAACAGTATTTATGAAGAGCCATAAGCAAATTCATATTCTTTTACATAATTTTTCTTACAGAATTATTTCCTAATGAAGTAATCACAATTACTGTAAAAATCTTGATTACAGGGATATTCATTATAGCATTTTACAAATTAGGGAAAAATTGGAAACAGCCCAAGTGTTTATTGGTAGGGGAGTGATTACGTAAATTATACATGTGTATGAGGAAACATACAGTTGTTAAAATTAATGTTTTTTTAGTTTTTTTATGGCATGAGTCAGTATCAATTACTAAGAATAGATACAAGAAAGAATGATCTCAATTACTTTTTTTTTTTTTAATTGTAGTATTTTGACAATTAGAATGCTATCTACAGAAGAATTGAATTTTGACTCTTGAATTTTGGAGTTGATGATGATATTTTACATTTTCTAGATAAAATTATTCTGTTTGCATCCTGCAAAACAAGTAATGATGGAAAATAAATTGGAGGTTCATAAGGATAAGACATTAAAAGAAGCAGTAGAAATGGCTTATAAGGTATGTTTAATTGCATCATTGACATTTACTAATATAACAGTATTAACATAATTTCCCAAGTTTTTATTATGGATAATGGTTATATAAGCACTTGCAGTAACCTTGGTAACCAGTTAATTTATCTCTTACTAAGTATATTTATATCTCTCCTTTGGAGCATATTCAGTTGATTTTGAGAATTTTCTCCCTTTGGAAGCCATTTAAACTTTCTAGGTCCCAGAATTAGGAACAAAATTTTATTTGCTCTTTCTATTCATTTAACATAGATTTCTTGAGTGTTTACTGTATGAAACAGAGATACCAGAGTGAATAAGACAACAGTGAGATATTAAAGATACCAAAGGGAACAAGACACAGTCACTGCCCTTGTGGAGATTACAATCTATTGGAAAGAACAAACAAAACATATTTAAACACCACAGTTTGCAATTATTTTATTATTTAGATGCTATAAACACAGTAGTAGTAAATTGAGAAAATTTATTTTGAGACTGTAACCATGAGACAGGGAGACAGCTATGCAAAAAGCTGAGGAAGAATATACTGGTGTGTAGTCAGATGCATTATCCATTCTGTCACTGGCCCATGCCCAAGGAAGAATATTCTAAGTAGAGTGAACAGCATGTTCAAAAATGCTGAGGTGAGGAGATGCTTGGCACGTTTAAGAAACCCAAGAAAGGAGTCATATGTTTAGATTGTTTTGAATGAGCACAGAGTACCATAAAAGGAAATTAGAGATTTTTGTGAAATGGAAGTTTGCATTTTGTTCTCTAAGAGTAGTAGAAAGTTATTAATGTGGTTTGAAAGGCAAATAGGGACATGCTCTTTCACCAGATCATTCTCAATGTTATTTATGATACTTAACAAATTGAAGTTTTTCCCTTTCCATATAAGCATTAACAGAATTTGACTGAAATTAAAGTCATTACCTAGAGAAAAAATTGCATACTATATCATTTTGTGTATAATTATACATGGAACCGATAAAAGAACTCAACACACAAGATAGCGGATATTGTTTCTCAAAGTGTGATCTAACACAATTTGCACCAAAGTCACATTCTTATTAAAAATGCTAATTGCTGCTTATGAATCAGAATTTCTCTGTTGGAGCCCGGGAATAGGCATTGTAACACATATCTCAGGTGACTCTCAGGCATAATCAAGTTTGAGAATCATTTGTGTTATACGTCTGTTCCTGCATAGCACTTACCAGTATTGAAATTTTACATTTAATTGTTTGACTATTTTAATATCACTGTCCCTCACTAGACTATAAACACAAGTACAGAAACCATTTTGGTTTTGCTCACAATTTTATTTTCAATACTCTTGCCTAGTATATAGAAAAGTCAAAATTGGTTAGCTATGTGAATGGATAAATGAATGAACAAACATTAAAATGGATAGATGGCTCTGGATTTGCCTCATTTTGGTAAAAATTCTTTAAATATAATGGTGGACTGCAAGCATTAGTCTTAAAAATAGGAAGTAAAAGTTTGCAAATAAAAAGAATCAAACAGAAGAGAGAAATAAGTCAATCTTATATACTAAAAGTAGAGCTTCATTGCTGGGAGTGGGAGTTGGGAAGGAGTAGAGATCAGTGGTGATACACTGAAGCTTACAAGTCTTTAAATTTTAATCACAACCTTAAATGAACATTGAATACTTCTAAGCAATCCTACTATGTTCCTCCAGGAGGCTTATTTCCTATCAAGAGAGTTGTTGCAACCAGGGTACGTCATCTGTTAGTGACATAAGCTAGAAGGAAATTTTATGATAGAAATTCCTGTACCATGAGCTGTAAGTATTCTGGAGGCTAATATTGAAAGGGGATATCTGGAGAGGAGTGAGGTGACACCTGAGAGACATAGAAGCCATACCCTTTGTGATGGGTCTATGAGACATGCTGTCCTCCTGTACTTAGAATGCTACTAGGTACATGAATTAACAAATCTACTTCCAATTGGATTAAGAAAACAAAAAATGCATATTCAAGTTGGCTGTTTGGTTGTTTTCCTCTGTTTCCAGCTTAGTTGATTACGAGCAGTAGGTTATAATACATTGATTTTGTTTCTACATCTAAAATTTATGGTGTTAGCTTTTTAAAAAATAAAAATGTCTTTAAATTAGTACATGCTTTATATGATCTGAGGGATAATGAAACATAATTATATAAAGTAACATTTACATTGTACCTGTAACTTTGATGTCTTTGATGCAATCATAAATGTGTGGATTTTATTTGTTAGGGCCTATTGGTAGTGTTAATTATATACAGACTAAAACACTATATATGTATTTATATATGTATTTTTTTTTCTTTCTGGGGGATTGCTTTCTTTTAGATGATGGATTTAGAAGAGGTAATACCCCTGGATTGCTGTCGCCTTGTTAAATACGATGAGTTTCATGATTATCTAGAACGATCATATGAAGGAGAAGAAGATACACCAATGGGACTTCTACTAGGTGGCGTCAAGTCAACATATATGTTTGATCTGCTGTTGGAGACGAGAAAGCCTGATCAAGTTTTCCAGTCTTACAAACCTGGAGGTATCTAAAAACTCCCAATTTTACATTATTTTGAGATGTACTCTATTTAAAATTTTCATGACAGGTTTTTTTATTATAGAAATGAACATAATTTAATTTTTTAAATGGTATTAAAATGTAGAATAATTTTGACAGGCTGAGAAATACTCAGCAACAGCTTGGAATTAAGTTCTAGATTACTTGCAAATAATTTTATACATAGTTTTAAAAACAACAATGAAAAACAACAAAACTTCTACCTTACAGTCTTCAGTGGGATTTTTCTTCTCCCGTATGCATTTTGGATGCTGTAAATCCCTGAAGTTATCAGCTGCTCTTTTAGGAAGATCTGTCTTTCTCTTTCTTTCTCTTTATGGAGATCTTGGTCCAAAAAAGTATATTTTCATAAAGTCTCAGAAGTAGAGACTATTTAGAATTTCTTTGGAAGGGTGGATTTATTATCCCATCACTGTCAGCATTTAAAGTTTTTCTTCATCCTCTCTACTTTTACAGGTCTTAGGGACTTCAGCTTTTCTTTCTTCATTAAATCTATCACATTCACTCAGCACGTTGAGTTTTTTTTTTGTTTGTTTGTTTGTTTCCTTTGAGACTGCTTAGGAAAACCAAAATATCATGCCCCTAGTTTTTCCAGAGACAGTTTTCTAGGGGTTCAGTCAGGGTGGTGGGAAAAATTGTAAAATAGACACAACCTTCTTGGAAGACGGGAAGGTTTCTTCAAAAGCCTCGGGAAGTAATGAGCTGAAGGCAGCAGTTCTTACCCAGGGGCAGTTAGGTAGAAGTAGGTCCAAAGGAATGTAGGGGAGTTTATCTAAAGAGCTCGTTTACTCATGTGATCCTAAGATCTACCGTTCAACACCCTCAGGTGCATGACTGCTCTCTGCTCTGGGGGTCAACATTGTCATTACCCACAAATGGTGTTTGCTTTAGGCCTTGGAACCTGGCCTTCAATCATTATCTACAAGTGTGTTGACTCAAAGCCTCTGTCATTAAATCTATACTGTATAAATGCCTGGAGTGCTAGCTGGTCAGGGCTGCAGCTGCTGACTCTTTATAGCACCCTCCTCAACCTCTGTAAGCTGTCTGGACCCTCAACCCACTCTTTCACTAGATACCTGTATCTTAGTGCATTTGTTCATCTGTCACTGGGTCAGGGTCTGCTCGTCAGACCCAGCACAGTTTCCTTAAAGACAGTTACATGATCTGTTTTGTGTCCAGAGTTTTCTATAATTACCATATGTAAATTATAACAAATAGGAGAAAAGCAAAATGTTTAAATAATTTTACAAAATTCTTACTGTTGTGCTTGACCCTAACTCCTTTGTATCACTGTTTAGTTAGAATTCAGACTTAAGTCCTCTGTGTTGTTTTCTTAAATGTTGAACTTACAAAACCTTATTCTGCCCTTTTACAATGATATTCCTTTATGGATCCTGTATATCTCCTTTTTAAATGAAGGCATCTCTTTACAGACTAGGTTAGATGTAATACTGTTTCAAGGAGCCTACATCTCTTAAGTGGGAAAATTTCATTTCTGAAAACCTTATGATGCCTGCTTCAGTTAAGACTCTACCTTATCGCCGGGCGCGGTGGCTCAAGCCTGTAATCCCAGCACTGTGGGAGGCCGAGGCGGGTGGATCACAAGGTCAAGAGATCGAGACCATCCTGGTCAACATGGTGAAACCCCGTCTCTACTAAAACTACAAAAAATTAGCTGGGCATGGTGGCGCGTGCCTGTAATCCCAGCGACTCAGGAGGCTGGGGCAGGAGAATTGCCTGAACCCAGGAGGCGGAGGTTGCGGTGAGCCGAGATCGCGCCATTGCACTCCAGCCTGGGTAACAAGAGCGAAACTCCGTCTCAAAAAAAAAAAAAAAAAAAAAGACTCTACCTTATCTATAAAAAGTCCCTTAGGACATTTTCTTGCTTTTTTTTTTTGAGCTAGACAGGAAAAAGAATGATTAGGGTGTAACATGAGTCAGCAGTAATACCACTTATTTGCAAGAGAACTCTAAATGCGAGTGCAGATTGTAAGACTTATAAAGTAGTCTTTATTCATTAATAATCTAGATCTTAGCAGAATATTTTGTTAGATTTAGATAACAACATAGGGAAAACAAGGATTGACATAAAACATGAGGTTAAAACAGATACATAGTAACTACATGTTAAATACAGTGTTTGAAGATTAAGAATTTAGTTATATAAACATAACCTGAAAACAGAAGAGAAGAAAATGGGATTCAGTTTTAATAAAAGGATTTAAGTGAGGAAACAGATACATAATCACAACAGTTTTTGTGTGGAATTTTCCTTGGGATATAGAAAATATTATTTTGAGAATAGGAAGTTTTTGATGATGAACAAGGTTTTGTGTGGCTTAATGAGGCATTTACTCAAAAGCAAGCATGAGAGCTGTGTGGCCTTTAATGTTTGTTTTGCAGTATCTGGTGATTTATATTTATTCAATGTTGTTTTGGTCTGTACTTGGAAGTTTGGATTGTCATCTATTAGAAACACATTAATAATGCATCACTCATGTGAAATACATTAAAAAATAACCTCCAATTATGTGTTTATATCTTCAAATGTGACAGAAGTGATGGTGAAAGTTCATGTTGTTGATCTAAAAGCAGAATCTGTAGCTGCTCCAATAACTGTTCGTGCTTACTTAAATCAGACAGTTACAGAGTTCAAACAACTGATTTCAAAGGTAAGTTTTAAAAGGGGTTAGTAAATGTATTTTTGAGTGCCTGTTACATGCAAGACACTGTGATAGTTATGAATAATATACAGGCTCTACCTCCAGGAGCTAATATTTGTAGTTAGGAGACAGCTGTGGTTAAAAGAAACAGATTGAACAGGAAGTAAGAAAATGTGGGGCAAGTACATATAACAACTTGTATGTGTTGGCTGGATTATCGTAAAATACAGGATCGGAAATATTAGTACAGTTTATTTCATGAAGGGCTTTAAACAGTAAACACGAAAGTTTGGGCTCCTTTTTGGTGTAGGCAATAAGAAGTTTTTTTGTTGATGGTGGTGGTTTTAAGTGCAGCAATGCTGCACTTAGTGTCTGGTGACACTAGACTAGTGTTCCACATGCCTTGAGAGAGAGTCAGGAATGGAGAGGAGGAAGCTGTTGAAATAATTCAAGTGTAGGTGTATGACTGGAAATGAGAGAACACATAGATTCCAAGAGGGATAGAATCTGCAGGACTTGTAATTATTAAACGTTGGGGTAAAGCAGATACACCCGTGACCTAAGCCAGAGGTTTCAAACTTGGAAACCAGAAAAGTAGGGATACATTAATAGAAATAGAGGAGGAAGATGAGCATGTAGACTTGATAGGGAACGTCATGAATTAAATACTGGCGCCATTATATGAGCTAATGATAAAGAACTTAGGCTCAGATTTCTTGAGCTGGAAAAATATAACAATGAAAACATTCAAGTTTGGGGGGGGGGGGGCAAAAGGATTAGTCCGTACCAGACAAATGATTATCATCCTTTCAAGGGTCCTGTACACCTCAGAACCTTGAGCATACAAACAGGCAAAATTTTTCAGGGTTCTCAAACCATAGGTTAAGATCCCCTCATGTAGTGGAAGTTGTTCCATAATTGCAAATCGAGTTCAGGTTTCAGTCATTCATCTTATGGTAGTCTTGTCTTTCATCTTATTAGCTGAGGTTTTCAATACTTGTTTAACAGGGTTGTAATAAGCATTAATGAAAAATAAATAAATGCTCTGTGGAAAAAAATTTGTAAGATGTTACATTAAGAGTTGGTGGTTATTATTATGCTCTTTAAAAAAGTCTATACTTTGACTTATATTTACATGACTTCTAACAGGTTTGCTAAATTAATAACCAGGAAACAAATCATTTTTGTGAAATTATATTTTATGATTAAATTGCTTGTAAATGCATACTATGTTGGTATGATATACTCTGTATTACATTTTTGAAATTTGAATGCCAAATGTAGAAAAATTCAGTTTAGTGAGCACTCAGGCATAATACAAAAGAAAGAGACACAATAGTTTCTTCCCCAAGAAGTTGATAATCTTATTGAGAAAAATATGTTTAAGGCTGGGCATGGTGGCTCATGCCTGTAATCCCAGCACTTCGGAAGGCCGAGGTGGGTGGATCATTTGAGGTCAGGAGTTTGAGAGCAGCCTGGTCAACACGGCGAAACCCCATCTCTACTAAAAATACAAAAATTAGCTGGGCGTGATGGCCCATGCCTGTAGTCCCAGCTCCTTGGGGGCTTAAGCAGGATAACTGCTTGAACCTAGGAAGTGGAGGTTGCAGTGAGCCGAGGCTGTGCCACCGCAGTCCTGCCTGGGCAATAGACCAAGACTGAATCTCAAAAAAAAAAAAAAAAAAAAAAAAAAAAAAAAAAAAAAAAAAAAAAAAAAAAGAAAGAAAGAAAGACAGCGGAGGTTGCAGTGAGCTGAGAAAACTATGTCTATAGAGAATAAAGGCAGTCACAAAACATCATGTAAACAAATACAGTGTTTTAAACTATAATCAGACTGCTTAAGAATTAGGTATTTATAACTAATAACCTAAGTCGTATTGAAAATAAGTTGTGTTCTTTAAAATGGAGGTAATTTTTACCTGCTTTCATGTGAAATTTATGAAATGACTCCAAAAATTAAAGATACAGACTTAGAGAATAACTTAAAATTTTACCTACTAATCTTCTCATTTCACGCAAAGGAAAATTGCTTGTTGCTTTAATAAAAGTGTAACAACTATTCACAGACTACAGAAGGGCCTGTCAAAAGCCAAGAAGTTCAGCAGTTTAATATCACTGTCAAAAAGTCAAGTTATTCAGTTTCTTTGGAATCAGATCACTCATTTACTTGGCAAATTTGAGAGGAATAGAGTTTCTAGGACAAAATCCTTACCTTTAAAATAGTTTCAGAGCATACATTTATAAGTGGTATTTTGTTCTCCTGATTTGCAGCATAATTTATGGCTATAACTAATTTTTCCCTTTCATTATTCAAATATTTTAAAACCTCTACTAAAATTATTTTTCTCTCTGCTGCTTTTAAGAAGAATTCAGCAGTGTCTTGCTTTCTAAGTCAAGCAGAATTATTTTTGAAAGAGTACTTTTTATTAAATTGCTTTTATTATAGGCCATCCATTTACCTGCTGAAACAATGAGAATTGTGCTGGAACGCTGCTATAATGATTTGCGTCTTCTCAGTGTCCCCAGTAAAACCCTGAAAGCTGAAGGATTTTTTAGAAGTAACAAGGTATGTCACTTATTTTTTTATTACTATTTTCTATGCTGGTAATAGTAAATAAAATTAGTTCAGTATTATAAGCCTGGCCTCCACAGCTGTTCAACATCTGTCTGAAACTTAACTTAAATTCTCAGGTTTTCCTAATAATTACCTTCCTTTGTAGTCATGTCAGATCAAGCTCCTTTGTGTCCTGTCAATCAGTCTTACCAGCTCTCCTCTTCTTTGCCTTTGTTCATGTACACTCCCACCTAGAGTGTTCCTCCTCTCCCTGCATTTTTTTTTTCAATCTCTAGATTAGTCCTACCTCTTTGGTGAAACCTTCATAACCATCTCTACCCGCAGTGATTATGTCCCTTTTTTTTTTGTTGTTCACTTCACGGTGAGGGTCAGAGGCATACCTGGTATAGAAAAAATTATCATCTTGAGTTCACTCACCATTATTCCCTTTGCCTACTCATTTTTCTCTATTGGAAAGGAGAAAGTTCATGTTAATCCTCTTCTTTTATCTTGATATTATTATGTGTTTCATCATTTATCATTTTTCATGTGTCTATCACTTTTTCTAGTCTCATTTATCTTAGTACAGTCTAGTCTTTTATCTCATTTAACTTTTTTAGTATTATTTTATTAATCCCAATATGTAATTTTTATTCACTTATGCTTCTAAAACTTTTGTGTTGTGGGAGAGGGGGTGTATGTGTATATGTAAAACATTAAAATCTCTAATCCCCTCCAATACTACTTTAGGGTAAGAAGTACAGGAAGGATCTAACTTTTTTTTTGCCTTAAGTGGTTAGCCTACTAGTTTCAGTTTGTAACATTTACTGAATAGGATAATGATAGTGTTATCCTTTTATGCAAAAGCCAACATCCTATTTATTATCCCCAAATTTATGCCAAAAATGAATTTCATATTTTAAAAAAGATGTATTATGGAAAATTTCAAACATAAACAAAAGTAGAGAGAATAGGGAAAATAGAGTGACCCCCCCCACCACCACATCCCCATCACTCAGCTTCTACAGTTATTGTCTCTTGTTTTATCTATATTTTAACCATCTACTTCCCCCAGATTAGTTGATAAACTTCCTAAGGATCACATCATTTCATCTATAGATCATGTGAATGTATGTCTCTAAATGAAGAGAACTCTTGAAAAAAAAAATGAAATTTACATTATGTACCTAAAAAATACCTTAATAGCAGCCAGTATCTTAGTCAGTGTTCAAATTTCTCTGATTATCTTAGAAATTTTTTTTCTGTAAATTTTCCTGTGTCTTTTTCATTTGCTTTCTTGCAGTTTATTTGTTACAAAACCAAGTTATTTGCCCATTAAATTTTTCCATGATCTGGATTTTGGTGTTATATTCACAAGGTGTCTTTACAGATGTCCCTATGTCTGTAATTCAGGCAAAACTTGGTTTTTCTAAAGGTGAAAGATGTATACAATCTAAAGAAAAACCAGATTATTAATTTCCTAAAGAGAAGAATGATAAAACAACTTTCTGAAATTGGACATCCCAGTAAACAAGGTGTTTGTGTATATGTGTATGTCCATGTCCTCTATCTTTGTGTAGTTTTATGGCTAGTTACAAAGACCTTTGAGCCTAATATTTATTTTATTCAATCTCCAAAACAGTACAGTGTCCTTCAGAAACTTTATCATCACATTTTATAACATAACTGTGTATTGTCTTGTATTGATGCAATATTATGATGATGATGAATGAAAATGTCACTGAAATTAATATATAATAAAACTCTGACTTACTATGTAGGTGTTTGTTGAAAGTTCCGAGACTTTGGATTACCAGATGGCCTTTGCAGACTCTCACTTATGGAAACTCCTGGATCGGCATGCAAATACAATCAGATTATTTGTTTTGCTACCTGAACAATCCCCAGGATCTTATTCCAAAAGGACAGCATACCAGAAAGCTGGAGGAGATTCTGGTAATGTGGATGATGATTGTGAAAGAGTCAAAGGACCTGTAGGAAGCCTAAAGTCTGTGGAAGCTATTCTAGAAGAAAGCACTGAAAAACTCAAAAGCTTGTCACTGCAGCAACAGCAGGATGGAGATAATGGGGACAGCAGTAAAAGTACTGAGACAAGTGACTTTGAAAACATCGAATCACCTCTCAATGAGAGGGACTCTTCAGCATCAGTGGATAACAGAGAACTTGAACAGCATATTCAGACTTCTGATCCAGAAAATTTTCAGTCTGAGGAACGATCAGACTC